CTCTTTCCAAAATCTTCAAACTGCAAGACAAAGAAATTTAAGTCAGCAGACAAGATACAGACAGTGGTTAGAAAAATGAACAAAACATTTTAAGAGTAGCAACATGAAAAACGTTTTTGCCTGGCTTCAAATCTCCTACCAAGAAGATGCTAATCAAGACAGCAGCATCTTCACTGCTATTGCTCAACAGCTCAATATTGAAAACAAAGGCAGGTTTTGCCGTGTGTTTTCCTCACGTTATTAGACTCCGTGCTATAGAAACTCTCCATCCATGTCTGACACTTTATTCTCTTCCTGAAGAGAATACAGCACAGAACATGTTTGCTCAGTTTTAGGATGGCAGATTTGCATAACCTTGGCCAAAGTGTCAGTGTCTTCCAACAAACCATTTGGGAGCAGAGAAGCCTGAGGACTTTTCAAGCCATGTCTGAGGGAGAAGGAAGGGAAAAGGACCCAGAGCCCCTACCTTTTCCTTATCCACAACTATGAACAGCTCCACGTATCTTGTTTGATGTAGGACTGCTCTCTTTCTCTGTGGAAAAAAGTTTTAGATAACTTCAATTTTATTAATTCAAGTGCAAACAACAAAAAAAATAATGACATTGTCATATTTCACTGCTACAACTAGTGGTCTGAGAGACACACCCAAAGCTCTCCGTGCCAAGATGGGAACAAGCCAAAACCAAGGAGTGCAATCCAACAAAATGACAATTTCTCTGTGTTTTACACTAAAACTCAGCTGCACAAAGACCTGCTATGTTTCAAAGCAAGGGAAGGCTTTACTTTCCACAGAGGTTTCTTTAGAAAGACAGCACACACTTGTGTAAAGGAGCAGAAAGATACTAACAAGCAAATGCCAACAACCTTGAAGTGAAACACACTGTTTTTCACACTCTGCTTTTACTGCAATCCTGTTCCTGTACAGCCAGCCTTTAAGGGACAAGGGGACCTTCACACCAAACTGTTAGTCTGATGGTTAGAAGAATGGAATAAAGAACATGATATTCTGCTGGCTTCTGACGCTTGCTAATGAGCCTCTCCAACAAGGGGAATGTTCCTGCACTTGAAAGCCCCCAAAAGCTCTGCCCAGGAATAATCTAACTGCCCACTGGCTGTGTGCAGAAGCAGAGAGAAGCTGCAACCATTTTGTTGAAACAACTGAGCTCTTTAGCAGAGCAGAAAGCCCTCTGAGTCAGAGACCTCTAGGTATGTGTTAAGCCCCAGGAAATCTGATAAGCTACTTCTATACTCTTAGTGAATACTCACAAACCAGGGACCGTGGGGAAAACAGCAGCACTTACTCGCAGCAGCTGGGTCATGCTGGGATGGGGATTTTCCTCTGCCTGTTCCTTTTCGTGGTCTCCAGTGGTTACCCCACACATGGTGGGCTCCTTCTTCACATTATCCAAACGATATAGAATGTGTCTGGAGATAGAGGAGGGATCCATGGGCTCGATCCCATAGGTGATGTTCCCTATTGTCACCAAACCCCTAGAACAGAGTAGTGTGTAAGAAATTGTAGCAGTGAGCAGGGTAGTCACCCAGATCTTGACAGCAAAACAAAGGAACAGTTATTCTTTGATAACTAAAGGCATGTCTGTATCTCAGTCCTTGCAGAACAGCATGCTTCATTTCAAGCCTGAGAGCAGCCTTTCACTGGAGAGCAAATTACATGTTCTTGTAAGAGGCTGCAGTGCCCCAGAAATGAAATCACAAGCCTGCAGCAGAAATGCTTTATTTCACATACACCATTTCACTCTGGTGTCCCACATGAAATTGCAAAACATCAGTGTCCCAAAACATATGAAAATAAGCTCAAAGCAGAAAAATCTTCTGATCAAACTTTAAGTGCACAAGCTTTGGGCCCAGTTTTGTAAAATTTGGAGACAACTGTTTGCCTTTCCATTTTTGCACTACACAGAGTTATTTGTAGTGATAATCTATGCAAATTAGAAAGTAAACAAAAATTTGTGCCACAGAACAACTTACTGTACACTGATCATAAACTGCATTAATCAGATTATTTGATGGTATTGTGAAAATCTGTAAACCACGTGGATCAAAGGCACCACAGAAGCCTGCACACAGGCAGCCACTGTTGCAGCCTGGCCCAGTCAGGGACTCCCTGCCTGGCTGAACAGTGGTTAAAAACAGCAGGA